ACGGCAAGTGTTTAGATCTGAATTGCACTGCCTGGGAGTCGGATGGAGGCAGCTTCAATTGCAGCTTTCTAAAAGGAAACTGGATATTTACCTGAAGGCAAGAAAAAAAAGTGCAGAGCCATGGGGAATAGACAAGGCAGTGGGAACTAGCTTAGTTGTTCTTTGAGGGGGTAGCATGCGCCTAATGGGTAGAATGGCTTCTGTGTCCTATGATTCTTTGACATGGTTGTAATAATTCCATCCCCTCAGAACAGCTTACCCTGCCAATCATCAGGAACAACGCAAATTTAAGGATTACAAGACCCAGGAGCAGAGATCGGGCACTCAGCCCCTTGAGTTTTCCCCACCATTCAATGATATTGTCGCTGCTCTGATAATCCTCAACTTCACTTTGCGCCTTGATAACCTCGAGTCCCTTACTTATTAATTAACAGTTTATTAACAACAAACATTGGAATTTTTATGCATCTTTCATTTTGAAACAGCAGATCATCCAATTATTTTTCTCTTAATTCAACCAGGAACCAATAATACAGTTGCCATGAATGTCTGATCAATAAAAGTCGCCAAAGTTTTACCAGCATAAAAGGCTATTGTCTCAGAGAGAGCAATGGCTGGTGGTGGTTTAATCTGAGGGTCACCATACCTCAGGCAAGGGGTGAGGGAGAATCCTCAGCTGGTCATGGTGACTGAACCCACATTGTTGGCATCACTGTATCACAAACTAGCTGCCCAGCCTAACTCTACATTCTTGATCTATCAATCATACCCATGACCTTAACCTGGTATTATTCAAACCTCCATGTAAGTATAACCGAAAGGACTGCGGGTGCTGTAAAATCAGGAACAAAAACAGAAGTTGCTGGAAAAGCTCAGCAGGTCTGGCAGCATCTGTGTAGAAAAAACAGAGGCTAACATTTTGGGTCCAGTGGTACTTCCTGAGAGCTGATGGTAGCTAGGTAAACGTCAGTTTATATGCAGAAGATAGGGTGGGGGGAGGTGTTAAGGGTTAAGGAGTAAACGATAGGTGGGGATGGAGCCCAAAGAGAGAGAAGAGCACTGGATAGACAAAGCAGTTAATAGCGATCTGGCTAGGAGGGTGAATAGCTGTTAATGGGGACTGTTAGTGACTAACAGTAGATAGTCTGTAATGGCAGACTATGTGATAACAAGGCCTGGTGCGTGGGGATGGGGGCTAGGACATAGGAGAGTTTAGGCCCAAAAATGATTGAACTTGAGATTGAGTCTGGAGGGCTGCAGGATCCCCCAGGTGGAAAATGAGGTGCTGTTCTTCCAGCTTGCGCTGAGCTTCACTGGAGCACTGCAACCAGCCAGAGACAGAGATGTTGGCCTGGGAATAGAATGATGTGTTAAAGTGGCAGGCAACTGGAGGCTCGGGGCCTTTTTTGCGAGCAGAAAGTAGATGTTATGTGAAACGGTCACCCAGTCTACGCTTTGTTTCCCCAGTGTAGAGGAGACCACATTGTGAGCAGTGAATGCAGTAGACTAGATTCTGGAACGTGCTGGTATAGTGTTACTTCACCCGGAAAGTACGTTTGGGCCCTTGGATAGCGGGGAGGGAGGAGGTAAATGTTACACCTTCAGTGATTGCAGAGGAAGGTGCCATGGTGCTGTGGTGGGGCGTTGGAAGTGAACCAGGGTGTCCCGTAGGGAATGGTCCCTGCGGAAGGCGGACAAGGGAGGGAAGGGGAATAGGTGTCTGGTGGTGGCATCTCGCTGGAGGTGGCAGAAATGGCATCCGATGATCTTCTGGATGTGGATGCTGGTGGGATGGTAGGTAAGCACAAGGGGAAGCCTATCGCTGTTCCGGGAGGGAAGGGAAGGGGTGAGGGTGGAAGTGCGGGAGATGGGTCAGACCTGGTTGAGGGCCCTGACGACAACGGAGCTGGGGAATCCTCGGTTGAGGAAGAAGATGGACATTTCTCTGTGATGTTCAACGTTCCACAGACAGCTGCTCTTGCCGCATCCTGAGATCCGCACTCAATACCATGCAGCATTACATGCACACTCAACCTCTCCTTCCAACAGCGTCACATCACGCTAGCTCAGGGCTTTACCACTCTGCAGTTCCACTTCATCCTCCAGCTCATTCACCATGTTTGTCCAATCTCTCATTTTAGCTAATATCCTCCAAACCAGACAACGTTCTGGTAAACCATTTCTGCTCCCTCCCCAAAGCTTCCACATCTTCTGGTAGTGTGGCGACCAAAACTGTCCACAATATTTCAAATGTGACCTGGAAAGTTCCTTACAGCTGCAACACAGCTTGCCAATTCTTACACCCTATGACCCGACCAATGTAGGCAAGTGTGGCATACATGGCTCTGGGGTGAGGAATATCAGTTTCGTGGAAAGGCTGAAGAAGTTGAGCCTGATTTCCCGGGAAAAGAGAGGTTTAAGAGGACGTTTGAGAAACATGACAAGGAGATTGGACAGGGCAGATAGAGAGAAAGCATTCCCATTGGTGAAGGACTGAGAACCAGAGGACACAGGCAGAAGGAAACTGGCAAAAGGAATAATGGATACATGAGAGAAAAAACCACATTTTCATGCAGCAACACATTAGGATCTGGAATACACTGCCTGAAAACATAGTTGAGACAGGTTTAATCAAGGCTTTCAACAGGGAATTGCTTTATTATCTGTAAAGGAGGAATTTGGAGGGTTCTAGTGGAAGAAGGTGAGGTAGGGGATCTAGGTAAATTGCTCATTCGGAGAGCTGCCACTAACAAAACAGCCAGCACTGCTTACTTCTGTGCTGTCACCATTCCATGATTCTGGCATGCTCTTCCTAACCTCAGAGCGCTATCAATTCTCTTTCTCTCCCTCCTGCATTCCCAGACCATCCAAAAGATGCATTCTGCCACCTTCAAACTTTGCCATCTCTTGCCCCCTTTGGGCTTTCCTTCAGCCTTTGGTTCTTATAAAAGGAATGCTTAGATTGCCAGTCCACACTTGTCCTTTCTTTTTAACCTTGTTGGCAACCAAATCTGAGGACCAGGACCCCGAATTTCTCAAGATCAAATGTGGCAGATACAGGAGATTTAACCACAAGGCTTTATGAAACAGGAAGGCACAGAGCTTCATTAAAAACTGTAGTAGGGGAGCTCCATTTTAAATAATAAATGCAGAGTTGATACAACTGCATATTAAATTCTCAGCCAGAAGCATCAATGCAAGCTTAAATAAAGCAGAGCCTTCCACAAGAACATGTCCCACAGAGTACCATTGATATCAAAGGAAAACTAGATACAGCTATCAAATTCCACTTTTAACAGAATAAGAATGAAACAGAAAATGAATAAGCTAAATATTTCCAATAGTTTCTGTGATTGTACACTGCTGAATAAACTCTACCAGGTCAGAAACATTGCTTTTTTTTCAGAACAAATACAAACCACAAGACAGGTGGGTCAACGGTAATGTCATAACCTGTGGGCTAGAAGCTTGGTGTTAGAGTCTTATACCGGGGGTTATTCACTACGTGTTTATAACCTTTTCAGACAGGGTGATTATCAGCCTGGCAATCCTAAGAGTCTGCTACAGAAACCAATACCAAACAACTGAAGGATTTTGCCCGTAAGTGTGGGCCAATCCATTGGACGTCCAAAGCCCAACTCTCTGACGCGAGAACATGGGACAAGATGGGCAGACAAACCACGAGGGTCCCAAAGCCAAGGGAGCATTCATCAGAATACTGAATGAGTCCCATCCTGTTCACTAAGTTGAGAACTGGTAGCTCAGCTGCTAAACCCAACAAGATATCATGAAGTCTTCTGTTATAATATTCCCTTACTAATATCTTGATTCTACTTGTATTAATAGGAGAGCAACCCTGTGGTCTGGTAACCCTATGGCGACATTATCTTTATTATCTCTACGTGACTCAGATCCATTGGACGTCCAAAGCCCAACTCTCTGACACGAGAACATGGGACAAGATGGGCAGACAAACCACGAGGGTCCCAAAGCCAAGGGAGCATTCATCAGAATATTGAGACCTTAATCCAGTGGTCTCCAAACTGTGCTTCCTCTTCTTTTTCTCCTCAAACAATTGAATGCAAGTGTAGAAAGGCTTGTCCTTTTTCTATCCTTTGCACAGCCAAGGCAGTCATTGGGGTAATGAGGTGAGAGAGGAACGAGCTGCAGAGTAAACAAGTGAGGTGCAATAGTGTGTATGTTGGACTATTGACCCAGAGGCCATGGTAATTATCTGTAGACAGGAGTTTGAATCCCACCACAGCTCCTGGGGAATTAAATAAACCTTGGATAAAGAGTAATGGAGGCAGGTTCAACTGGGCCATTCAAGAGGGTACAGCAGGATTATCTGAATTAAAATAATGTGCAAAAAGTAGCTGATTAGCACTAGTAATGACACCAATTTGAAGAGCCAGTGCAGTCACAATGGGTCAAGTGGCCTCCTCCTGCTTTCTGTGATAATCACAAAGACACAGCTATTTACAAATGCTCTTTAGTGAAGTGAGACCCAGTTAGCTGGTCTACCCCACCTGTAGCTCCAGGTCTTCAGCAATGTGCTCGGTTCCCAACTGCCCTCTGAAATGATCTAACACATTACTACGGAGCACTACAAAGATCCATAGCCCAAATGCAGCAGCATTTTAAGACAGCAACTCACCACCTCCATGAAGGGCGATTAAAGGATGTATTGTAAATGCTATTGTTGTCTGTGATGAACATGTCCTATTTATATTTAAAGAAAATAACTACCTAACCAGGCACAAAAATACGTAATGTAATGGAACTCAATTTCTGAAGACAAGTCTTGCAAACATTATAACATTTCCACGTCCCAAAGTCAAGACAGAAAACTACCCATAAAAAGGGCAAATTCCTAGCCAATTGGAACTAGATCACACCTGACTAAGCACATCTTAGTATCTCACACCAAGTTTCAAACTGGATTCCATGGATGTGCCAATTCAAAACACCCACAGTCAGGAGCTTACTCTCGTTCTTACCGATTGTGTCTTTCATTAGTTTCTCCAGTTTTTCTGTCATGCTCTCTTCTTCAGCTCGATTACTGCTCTCCACTCGCTGCATAATCTGCCGCTTGATTGCAACAATAACTTTGAGCAAGTTATCTTTGGACAAAAGAAACACGCATTTTAATAGAAGTCAATCACTTGCATTTTCCATATGGATAGAGACCTTTTAAAATAACTCCAATCTTAATATATAACAATTATTTTGTAGTACAATAACATTTAAGACCTTAAGATGTATGAGAAGAAGTAGGCCATTCAGCCCATTGTTCTGTATGGTGAACTAGATGCAATCATTATTAATCTGATAATCGTCACCTGTACTTTCCTGCAATTTCCCCATAACCCTTGATTCCCATACTGATTAAAAATCTGCCCATCCCAGCTTTGAATATACTTAATGACCCAGTCTCAACAGCACCCTGTGGTAAAGAATTCAACAGATTCACTCTCCTCAGAGAGAAGAAATTCCTCCTCATCTCCGTCTAAAATGTGCAAGCCCTCATTCTGAGTGACATCCTTTGGTCCTAGACTCTAGCACAAGGGGAAACAACCTTTCCACATCTACCTTCTCAAGTCCCCTATGAATTTTATATCTTTCAATAAGGTTGCCTCTCATTGTTCTGAATTCCAATGGGCACAGACCCAAACTTTGTGACCGCTCCTTGTAAGACAGTCCCTCCATACCTCATACCAGCCTGGTGCACCTTCCCTGAACTGTGTTCAATGTCAGTCTGTCCTTCCTTAGTTTTTGTCTCTTATTATATAAGCAAACATGACTGCCATTTTGCGAACAGTAGGATCCACTAAATGACCATGGGAGTTTCTAAGTGGGAGAGAATGATGTGTAGGTAAGGGCAACTCTATTCTTTGGGTTAATATACGGGATACTAAGAAAAATCTTAGCCCATTTTCAGATGGTCGTTAAGGCGTTTAACATTCACCTAAAGGCAGGTCATTCACTTAGGTGAAAGACTGCACCTCCAACAATGCGGTTCCCTGTCAGTACTGCCTTGCAGTGCCAACCTATCTCGTGCACTTGGGTCCTGACAGAGAAGCCCATCCCTGCCCTTTTGATTCTGAAGCAAAAATGCTAGTCACCTGACACAAGCTGATACTTGGTTAACAAGAGAGATACCAGATTTTCCAGCCATTATTTCTTTGCGTATTAGTAACAGCTCTTTTATTTTAAACAATATAAATAACCAGGCAGAGGATAAGTTAATGAAACAGATGATGACTGAAAGACACAAGAGAACCGAGGAAGGTAAGCAGAATGGGCAACGAGATAGAAGCTGCAGTTTAATCAAGAAAAATATTTGTTAACTCAATGTGAAAGCAAGAACAGGGAAATAACCTTTGTCAAGATGTAGAGTGCAGAGCAAAGGACCTTGGGCCTGCAGATACACAGGCTGAAGGTGGTGTCACAAACAGTTACAAATATAAAAGGAAGACAAATTGAATCTTCAGATTTGTGCCTAGCGACAGGATAATTTGTACAAGAACACAGTTGTGCCATAATTAGTTCTGGGTGTGAGGGTGTGGGAGTTATAAATTCATTGGTACTTCAGCAGGTTTTAGGGATCATTGTAGTGAAGAGACTGGAAAAATTAAGGCTTGCTTTCTTCTTAGGGTCAAAAGTTTAAAGGGATTGAAAAGTATTGAAGATACATCGTAAGAACGATTTTCATGAGTTCATTAATCAGATGGTAATGACAGCACAAATATAAGATAATGGGAATTAAACTGGAAGTTGGATAAAAATTCAGAGTGGTTAAAATTAGGAATTCTTGACTAAAAACAGATGCGACCTCTCAAAATTGAAGGTTGACTTGCAGTCTAGAACTTTCAATGATTCTGTTCCAAAAGGGTGGATTGTACAACTTTCTTCTCTGTTTAACGTTGTTGTGTAAAAGGCGAATGTCACAGGAAAACTGTTAACGATTTGATTGGAAGATATTATTTGATCAATCAATCTGTTCAGAGATGTTACTGCACACATTTGGATTAGGTGGGACTTGAACCCAGGCATCCTGGCTTAGAGGTGGGGACATTACCACTGTGTTACAGGAGCCTTTGATTTGACTGGATGGTTTGTCAAGAAATGAAGGCAAAATCGTTGATATATTATCACATTTTTAAAATGCCTCCAAACTCACTTATAGCCAGTTAATTGTTTCTGCAGAAAACAACTATGTAAGGAAAGGTTCCACAAACAAATTCATTTTTGGAAATGAAATTTAATTACTGCAGATGAATGCTTCCAGTGTCTGCAAAGCATGGCACAGGATGAAGTTCTCTCTCAATTTGAGCTCAGATACAGGAGGCTGCAGCAGGTCGGGAGGGGGAGGGGGAGGGGGCAAGTTTCATTGCTTGCAAACGTCTCTTTGCCAAGACTGAGCTGCCTGACTCCCTTCAAAGATTTGGATTCACTCTCAGAACCAGACCAAGAATGCAGGATGGGTTCACAGCTGGGGGAATGTATCCCTTGGAGGAAGCAATATGGGAGGCAAGGTAAGGGGGAAGATTGGGAATGATGGAGGGACCAAGTTCCTCAAATTCAATACCCGTTCCCCTTAATCCGGCACTGGTCTGCGATATGGCAGTGAGGACACTCACCGTGCTCAGTGTTTAGACCCCACAACTTGATTTTGTTGGCCTCATGTTGTGCTTTCTTCTTTAGTCTACAGGCCCTGTGCACACAAAGAGAAAGGAATGGGTAACACATGATGAAATGTCACTCTTCAGATCCTGGCCTCAGAGAATGACTGCACTACATGACCGTTCATTCATAAGTACTTCATATTAGAATCATACACAACTCAAAAAAGAACCTGTGAGGTTGAGAGTTTTTTATTTTAAAGAATGTTGCAACTAAACCAAATGCATGGTGTTAATAAGGTCAAGACACAAAGTAATGTCACCATAGTCTCAGGCTGCTCTCTCATTAAAGAGAGACAATTGGTGTTGTTTTAGCCTGAAAGTAAAATAAAAGCTCATTCTCTTGTCACTCTGAAATGTGATTAGCATTTACCATGACTGTAATATACCAATGAGGAACAAGAATAGGCCACTCGGCCCTTTGAGCCTGCCCACTATTCAATATGATCATGGCTGACCTCAATTTAACCCGAACTCTACAATCCTGCCTACTCCTCCAGTATTCAGGCTATGTCAATACTAAGATCTATTGATAAGCTCAAAGTAGAAGCTTCTTCAAAATCAGTGAATGTTCTGAATTCTGTAGTTAATTCCAGGTCCTTCTGAATTGAAATGAATACAAAACCCCTCAAGATCCTGAATAAAAATGGAACCGGAAACACTGATCCAGTGGATCAGGCAGCATCTGTGGGAGAAACATTTGTTGACCGTGGCTCTAAACTGAGTTTATCTGGTACAGTTTGCAAGGAGAGTCATGTTGTACGAGAATCTGAAAGGGTCAATAATGAGGCATACCTTGAGCACCACCTGCTATGTGTCACCATTTAGTAGGGGAACAGCTTAGGATCTCGGAGGAGTCCCAGAGGATCATGGGGCTGCTCTCTTATTAGGAGAGACAACTGAGGGTGGTTTAACCTCAGGCAAGGGCAGAGGTTGAGAAGGACAGTCCTTCATGGTAACCTCAGCTGGTGCAGCAATAGAACCTACACTGCTGGTATCACTCTATACCACAAACCAGCCGTCCAGCCAACTGAGCTTGCTCACCCCCCCGTAGAGATGCAAGTCTATATGTGAATAGAATGCTGTTGCATTTCTAATATAGAACACTCGAGCACGCAGTAATATAGAAGTTCAGGTTATAATAAATGAAAGATTCTTTGATAGATGCACTGCCATCATATACCGCCTTCAAGGTTCTGTGTAAGTAAGTCCAGCAGCTTTAGACTCCCAGTAGGGAAGCCACATTTGAAGGAAGGTTTGGGATATGATCACTGATACAATTAACAGAGAATAGTTCAGACCTGGTCAGAGGAGCAGAGTCCGGGATTGTTTTCACTGCCTGTTACAACAGTCTTGAGGGCTCCACTGCCAAGGCTTGTGAATGGTCATGGGCCTGGGGTAGGAGTCAGGGGTCACTGGCCCCCAGGATTAGTCTCCATCTCTCCCGCTGACTGTGCCTGAGTCGCATTTAGAGGGCTAATGAGTGGGTTAGCGAGTGTTTCTCTTGCCTCGGTTTCAGCAAGCATGCTCCTGGGTGGGCTCAGCTGCTCTCCTAGTTTCCCACCCAGCTCACCCAAAAATCAAATCGGAACTCCCATTAGAATAGGGAGGGAGGGGGAAGGAAGAGTCTTCCCTAACCTCTTCCAATGGGGTGATGAGCTGAATCTGGTTTGAACTGTTTACGGCAAGTTTCGCATGAAAACATGTTTTTAACCAGGTCTGGAATATTGCAGCACCACAGTCAAACGCTGTCAGGACTGTATAAGTAAAAGCAAAATGCTGCAGATGCTGGAAATCTGAAACAAAGACAGAAAAACGCTGGAGAAACTCAGCAAGGTCTGGCAGCATCTATGGATAGAGAAATAGATTTAAATGTTTCCAGGCTGGTATGGCTCTTCAGAACTTCATTTGACATGCTCAGACTCTCTGTTTATTACCAGCCGCATTGTACTGTTAAGTTAGCAGGACGGGGCATGGCAACTCCTCGGACACCTTTCAGTTTTCCCCCCTTTCACTTGTTGGAGCTGGAAACTGTATAGAGTGAATTCCCATTCATCATTCCCTCAGAATTTTGGACTACGTTGCCCTGGAAATCTAATATATTCCCTTTCGTAGGGGGTCATGTTTGATTCAACAGGAAGCATTGGATCAAATTATAGCCTCCAAAGCCTTCCCAGGATAAGGAAGAACATAGGTAATCACTGCAATCTGAACTGCACTCACAACCAGATAATATTTTAAAACCTGAAATAAATAAAGAACTGAGGGTGCTGGAAATCTGAAACAGCAATTGCTGGGGAAACTTAGCAGGTCTGGTAGCACCTGTGGAGAGAAAGCAGAGTTAATGTATTCGATCCAGTGACCTTTCTTCGGGAGGGTCTTCAAGTCAACTCTGCTGTCTCTCCACAGATGCTGCCAGTCCTGCTGAGATTCTCCAGCAATTTCTGTTTTCAAAATTGAACTTTGAGAGAGGACAGGGAGCTGGGTCTTGGGCAGATAGTGCCAATGCCCCAACTGTAGTCCCACTGAGTACAACAGTGGAACATCAAATCAAACTTTGTCTGATCAATGGACAGTGCTCCGCATTAATGAAGGGCTAACTGTGCCTGAATTTTTATAGCTGCTATTTATAAAGATTATTTCTGCTCTTTCCAATGTGCCTGTTGACTTAAAGAAAGAAGGACCTGCATTTATTTTGCACTTTTGAATACCACTGGACATGTCAAACTGGTTTACAGTCAAGGGAGTACTTTGTAAGTGTGGTCACTGTTATAATTTGCCTAGAGTGAATTACCATGAGCAGTAATGTGATAATGACCAGATTATATCAGCTTCTATGATGCTGTTTGAAGGCCATGCCCCTGGAGACAACTGGATCAAAATCCTGGAATTCCCTCCTAACAGAATTTTGAGGGTCCCTATACCTCAGGGACTGCAGTAGTTCAAGAAGACAGCTCCCCATCTCAAGATAAGCCATAGGGCTCGGCAATAAATGCTGGCCTAGTCAGTGACACCTACAGCCCATCAATTAAATGATAAAAATAAAAATTCCTTGCTCTTCATGTCCATATAGGAAAAAAAATCTTTGCCTCTGAAGGCAAGGAATTAAGATTATTGAATATTTTCAAGGCAAAGTTAAATTGATGCCATTGCCGAACAAACATTGCAGGTTCAAATTAAAAACAAAAGAAGTGCAGATGCTGGAAACATAAAACAAAAACAAACAGCTGGAGAAACTCAGCAGGTCGGGCAGCATCTGTGGAACGACAAACAGAGTCAACATCTTAAATCTGCTGATGTCGGACGAAGAGGTACTGGACTGGAAACGTGAACTCTGCAGAGTTTCTGCAGTATTTTCTGTACAAGAACCAGAAGTGACCAGGGAGGAGAGATTGGAACGTGGAATTTGAAACCAACAGATCGGCTATGATCTTATTAATGGTGCAGCAGACGTAGAGGGACAAAAAGCCTACTTCTGTTCCTAATTGTATATGTCCATACTAGGAAAGGAAAAGTAGGTTAGTTATTTTTATTTCTGTAGCACCTTTCGCCACCTCTGACCCGCTGGAAAGTGGTTTTAAGCTGGAAACTGGTTTTAAGCCATGAATTGAGAGGTTTGGACTGTAATCAATGAAATAACGCAGGAACTGTCACTCTATCCCAAAAGAGAATATTTTCTCGCTGTCCCATTCCTGATGGATATGTCAAAACAGCTCCAATTGGAAGGACAAGATGAATTGCCGCACTTTAAAAGATTCACAAGCTATTTTGAGGGACCATAAAGTGTATGCCTGCAACAAAAAAAAAACTCAAATCTACTTGATGCCACTCTGCTAAGTTGCTCGCTGATTTTATTTACCTAGAAGCCAGTTTATTTTTCTCCTTTCTGGATCGTGGTCTGGCGTTCACTGGCAGCTCGTTCACTGGTGTCAGGTCATCAATTACCTTGTTGAGCTTCTTCAGTTCGTCTCCGATGTGGAGCAGCTTTCTTGGGTTAGGTGTCAAGTCATCCACATCTGTGCGCCGGGATTTTTTCGCTATTCTGCGTCCTGGTTCGGAGGTGGGGAGGGGGGGGGGGGTGGTGGTAATACAAACAATTACATAGGAACTGTTAATCATCCTCCAGCATCAGCTGCCAAGAAAACAGCCTTTGCTTCAGATACCTTTCCATCTGCGCTGTAGGGATTCTATGATTCAGTCTTGCTTTTGGCTTTTTGAAAATGATCAGAGATCAGAAAGGTGCCTGGTTCTAGCCCTGGTCCGCGTTGAGTGATCAATTTCACTCCCACGCGCTGGTTTGGTTTGGAGCCAAGGGAGAGGAACATGCAAAGGATGGATTCCCCAAACACATTTGGCAGCTCTTGCTGCCAACACAGGAGTGTAGCTTCCAGAATGCAAATTAAAAAGATCATTTGTACCCCAAATTACGAGACTTAATCACATTCTACACCAACACCTCCAGTTGTTCACTTGGCAATGGGACAGCCACGAAAACACGCACAGCTGCAGAGAACTCTCCTTACCCTTCCTGAAGCCACTAATGTCTTTGATATCACACTAACTCCTGGCATTTAATGAGCTGGCTACATGACCCCACACATCACCATGAACTGGTGGGCCAACAATCACAGAACACAGCTGGGTGAGATGATGCCCAAACTCCCACGTGGGCAATGAGAGCACGTTTGGGGAACCCATCCCTTTGCATTTTCCAGTCCCTCGGCCTCAACGTCTCCAAAACAAACCAGCGCACGGGAGTGAAATTCATCACTCGACATGGACCAGAGCTGGAACCAGGTACCTTTCTGATCTCTGAACATTTTTACAAAGCCAAAGGCAAGACTGAATCATAGAATCCTGGAACACCTGCAGCACAGATAAAGGCCATTCGGCCCATCAATCTGCACCGACCCTCCAAGAGCATCCCACCGCCCTCAACATTATCCCGTTAACCTCGCATTTCCAATGGCTAACCCACCTAGCCGCACATCCTTACTCACTACAGACACTTTAGCATGGCCAATCCAGCTAACCTGCACGCCTTTGGACTGAGAGAGGAAATGAGGAACTGAAGCGAGATTAAGAGATAAAATTAGAACACAACTTCTTTCACTAAAACCAAAGAAGAGAAAAGAAGGACTTAAAGCAAGACAAAAATAAATTGCATCAGAAATTCCTCTCCCTCAAGAACTTCCACCTCCTATTGGCATTTATAATGTTCACACTGCTGATGTTTCTCAATCTTTAGGTGCAATTCCCCCCACCATAATAACCCCAGATCATACAAGATCATAATATGTAGGAACAGAAGTAGGCCATTCAGCCAATTGGATGTGCCCTGCTATGCAATGAGATGATGGCTGATCTCATCATGCTCATCTCCACTTTCCTGCCTATCTCCATAACGCTTGCTTATGACCGGTCGAGCCTTCCCTCTGTCATTCAGTAAGATTATACCTCATCTTTGACCTCAACTCCACCTGCCTGGCCTATCGCCCATCATCCTACTGGGGGTTAAATGCTTTACAAACAACAATGTGCATTTATATAGCACCCACGAAGAGCCAAGACATACATTGGGCAAAGTGTAAAAGACAGTTTATGGGATTAAGGCTTTCACTGCCATCCACCTGTTTTGTTCTCACCTTGCCCGACGCCATTCTCCTTCTGATAGACATTACTCGGTAACGTAGAGCAATCCCACTCCGATGGCTGCAGGGTCCGTTCTTGTTTGCTGGGCGTGGTGTGGCTGTCGCTGTACTCCCAAAAATACCGACGCTTCAACCGCCTGCCTCCCACCTCCGACGTGACGTCGGCTGACGTCTCGTGCTCGTTTCCTGAAACGAGAAAGGTTGCACTTGGCGTTTAAACACCTCTGCAACTTTCCAACACTGCCAACTGAGAAAGGGAGGGGTGGGGTGGTGGGGGGGAAAGCATCCGAAAGCCGGGACCTGCTCCAAGACGAACTGGCTGACGTGACTGGCAGATCCAAAGAGCGGCAATCACTGCCATAATGAGAGGTGAGAAGGGCACGCCGTTTGACAAGAGGCACCAGGGAAGAAAGCAGATCTGTCAAAGAGGTAGTAAGAACTGTCGATGCTGGAGTCTGACCTATTCGTTCCTCCCACCTCACTGACCAATCCCCACCACTGCCTACCTGCACTCACCTATCACCATCCCACCTACCTTCCCCAGCCCCGCCCCTCCTCGCTCTATTAATTTCCCAGCTCCCTTCCCCATCCCCCATTTCTGAGGAAGGGTCCTGACACAAAACGTCAGCTTTCCTGCTCCTCTGATGCTGCCTGGTCTGCTGTGCTCCTCCAGCTCCACACTGTTATTTCTGTCAAAGAGGAATTGGTTAAAACCTGCCACAATTCTTCAAGGCTCCCCGCTGCATCTCCACAACTCTCGGAGAAGTACATTCGTTTAAATCCACGCTCTTACCTATCCCCAATGTCCATCACTCGCAGAATCCCTTCAAGTGTTCAAGCCTTAAACTCCAACACTTTTTTTTTTATTTCTTCATTTCCTGTATTTATATTCTATGTTTAGGTTTATTTTTCTGTGTTTTAAGATAGTGCCAGAGAGCATTTCTTTATTCATTCACGTCGCTGGCAGCATTTATTGCCCATCCCTAATTGCCCAGAGGGCAGTTAAGAGTCAACCACATTGCTGTGGGTCTGGAGTCACATATAGGCCAGACCAGTAAGGATGGTAGTTTCCTTCCCTAAAGGACATTAGTGAACCAGATGGGTTTTTCCTGACAATTGACAGTGGATTTGTGGTCATCATTAGACTCCTAATTCCAGATTTTTACTGAATTCAAATTCCACCATCTGCTGTGGCATGATTTGAACCTGGGTCTCTAGAACATTACCTGGGTCCCTGGATTAACAGTCCAGCAATAATACCACTAGGCCATTGCCTCCCTCCCATTGTACAACACTTCTCACTGTATTTTGTAACAAGGTACACATGACAATAATTAAATCAAATCAATCTGTCCATCCTCTCACCTCTTTTAAATTCACCACCTTAGCTAAGTATTTGGTCGTCCATCCTAAGATTACTCATGAACACGTGAATTAGGAGCAGACACAGGTCTCTTAAACCTGCTCTGCCATTCTGTCTGACCCACATTCCTGACTACCCAGGTAACTTTCTTGTTTCATCAAGAATCTATCTACTCCTGCCTTAAAAATATTCCAAAACTCTGCTTTCACCATCTCTAGAGGAATATGTTCGAAAGACTCAATATTCCGTGAGAAAAAAAAATTCTCTTTGTCCCATAGATAACACAGCAGGCTAGGAAGCATCAGAGGAGCAGGAAAGTTGACGCTTCGGGTCGGGACCCTCCTTCAGAAAGTCCCGAACTGAAACGTCAACTTTCCTGCTGCTCTGATGCTGCCTGGCCTGCTGTGTTCCTCCAGCTCCACACTGTGTTATCTCTGTCTCCAGCATTGGCAGTTCTTGCTATCTCTCTTTATCTCATTCTTTAATGGCTGACCCTTTATTTTTAAATGATGACCCCCAGTCTCAGTCCTTCGGGTTTTAATTGAGATTTTATAACTTGGAGAAACGTTTTCTTGTCTCTAATTTCCATCTTGCTTCACCTCTTAATTTCATACCTTCCTGACTACATAAAAGAAAAATGTAAAGTCATGATAGTCCCATAGGGCCTTAGGGCTGTGCTCTCATTAGAGAGAGATGACTGGTGGTGGTTTAATCTGAGGGGTCTACTGAGACAGATCAATTGATGGTTATTGATGTCACACTAGAGCCAGCCAATTGTGAATGTGTTGACTTCATTCGGTGCTAAATAACTGATTGACTGAATAGTGTACTTCATCTATCATCTACCTGCTTGCTTCAGACTTGATGGTACTTTCTTACTGTGGAACTCAGTTCGGTCAAAGTTGTGCAATACGTTCTTGGGGAAGGTCACTGAAATAAACAATGGGTTCAAGAGACAAACTGTTTTAAATATTGATGCTGAAGCCTTCAAACGAGTGGCAGCTAGAGATAACTTTCCAAGTGGTCTTTCCTTGTATCTTCATAAACATATCGGCAGCTTACTGAACACAAGGAGGCCATTAATACTGCTCCACTGAAAGTTCATCCCTCATCATTTCATCAGTTTCTCTCCCACACAAACCTTTGGGAACCTATCTTTACAGACGCCAGTCTGGAAGAGAAACAAAATAATGAAGCAATCCTGTGAATATATTTACAACCTTCAATAATCTTTAATGGATTTCAGGTCAGTGGTCTTTCCTGAGAACTTCTTTACAAGTTCACTGTCTGTGTGGAGGTGGGAGGGACTGATTTTATTGAGCCTCAAGCAAGAGTGGGAGGGACACCTCTGTTTGCTGAAGTCAATTGCATAGCGAGCCCTCGACAATCAAGAACACGGTCATTGGAAATGTGAAACTCATCGTTTTGATGCTAATCCGTAGCCACAGCACACATCGAATGCCTGTGTTGCCTTCATATTTTTAATTGAAAAACGAAGATGAAAAATTGCTGAATGGACTGATCCATCAGAATGACAGACACACTGATGGAACTGAATGGCCTTTACACTACATTTTTCCAGAAAATATTGTCAATGCAGTGATGCCACCCCATTCCCCACTCATTGCATCATAATCCAAGAAGCCTAAATTTTCACAAACTTATTACATTCCAGTCTTCACATCTTTAAGATCAAGATTTGGACCCGGAAAATCTCAATCTCCCAAGAGAATGAAGATGGGGTTTGAACTGTGGTAAAGTCTAAATCCTAAACACCCATACTCCCTGTCCCCTTCCTAATCTCCCCTCTCATACCACCGAACTGTACATACATCACCTTATTGTGTACAAATCTCTCAAACACACTGGACTACTTATCACTGCTGGCACTCTCCCAGGTAACTGGAGTCAATAAGCTCAAAGATTCTGAATCCTCTCCCAAAGTCCAGGGTGGCATGGTGGCTCAGTGGTTAGCACCAGCCTCACAGCACCAGGGACCAGGGTTCGATCCCACCCTCGGGCAACTGTCTGTGTGCAGTTTGTGAATTCTCCACGTGTCTGTGCGAGTTTTCTCCTACAGTCCAAAGATGTGTGGGTTAGGTGGATCGTCCACGCTAAATTGTCCAAGGATGTGCAGGCTAGGTGGATTAGCAATGGGAAATAGGGCGGGTCTGGATGGAATGCTCTTTGGAGGGTCGGTGTGGACTCGATAGGCCAAATGGCCTGCTTTCATGCTGTAGGGATGATTCTATGACTCTCGCCTCATAAACTGAAGGTCAACTGAAGTCAGCCAAATCTCCACAGCATATATCCTATTGTACCAAGATTCATTTCTCCCTACCATCTCTACTGGAAGCTGTACACTCCAGGCAGTATGGAGATTCATATCGACTGCCGGAGCTTATTAAAAAGAGATGAAACACAGATCCGTATATATTCTGGAAAGGCAAAGATCATCAGCATTGCTTAGGATTTGGAAGATTGGATTAATTCAGCAGTAAGTTTGGGTCAGGGAAGTTTTTACTGGCTGAACTAGATGATCCGATTATCATCAACTTAAAAGTAAGTTGAATGACTTTAGAATTGCTTCATAATAAATACAGGAGAGTCAGTTTGGAAATGTATCAGCTCCTTTCACGGTAAGGTCTCAGGAACAGGCAGTTTAATTATAACAGTATAGAGGATACTTGCTTCTATCTAAGAAAGTACAGCCAGTTTGATTGTCAGAGCTTCTGCTTTCTCCCACTATTTCACCGGAACTCTCAGGTTGATATTTTGGTAAGATTCCATGGAGTCAGGCTTCCTGATGTCTCACCATTGCTGGCACCTCTCCAACATTGCATTCAAAGGGCTATTCACAATAAATTAACAAAAACACCAGCAGCTTAGCCATCTCCAGCAAACAGCTCAGGCCTGCCACATCCAAAACGACCTACAACCCAACTCTCTGGGGTGAAAGAAGCCCAGCCAATTTCAATTCCCTAACCCCTCACTTAACCCAGAGGGGCTGCCACTTTGCAGCTTCCCAAATTGCTGTTTACTCCAAGCTCAGTTAACCCACCAACAACTCCAGTGTGATCACATCTCCCCAGACTACAAACCAAATATGCAACAGTGTGGAGCTGGAGGAACACAGCAAGCCAGGCAGCATCAGAGGAGCAGGAAAACATTGGCAGTTCTTACTATCTCCAAATACACAACAGGATGACAATGGCAGGGAGAAGGGTTTAGTGTGATTGAAGGCAAGATGCAAATTAGTTTTAAAAAGACTAATTTTTTTAAAAAAGAATTGCTCATGGGATGGGAGTATCAGTGGGTGAACCAGCATTTATTGCCTATGCCTAATTGCCCTGAGAAAAAGGGGTGGGGAACTGTCTTATTGAACCCCTGCAGTCCTCAGGGTGCTGGGACTCTCACAGAGCTGTTAGGAAGAGAGTTCCAGGATTCTGACCTAGTGACATGTAGGTTTTGCCTCCAGTCAGAGATCATCACCTGATACAGCAATGCTCATCTAATCCTTTAACATTAATACAACCAGGCATGGATAAAATGGTATTGAAGAATTCAACAGATATTGTTTACAGCTGACTACTATATAAAAATTGTACATTCACATGAATGGTGTCTTGGCTGATATTAGGTCAGGGTAACATGCTTCCAAATAGCATGTCAAGCTTCAAGTGATCCCAAGTAAGATGGAGTCTGAGGCCTTTATACCCTCAGGTCACATGCTATGATACATTGATGATGAAATCATGAGCATGCCTCTTAAAGGCATACTGACACACTGACCAATGGAGACATAAAACAGAAACAATGATATATTTCCAAGTCAGGATGGTGAGTGGCTTGGAGGGGAATGAGCAGCGGGTGGTGTTCCCATGTATCTGTTGCCCTTGTCCTTTTAGGTCTCGAATCTTTGAAAGTTTCTTTCTCAAGATGCTGTGAATATTTCTAAGGCTGAGATGGGTAGATTTTGGATAAGCGAAGGGGTAAAATGTTATCAGGTTAGGTGGGACCTGGGAGAAATCTGATCAGCCATCATCTTATTGAATGGCAAAGCAAACTGCCTACATCTGCTCCCAATTTATGTTTGTGTTGGGAATGGCGGGGGGTGTCAATTTAAAAAAAATAAATAAATTTGTTCATGGGATTGGAGTTACTGGCAAGGTCAACATTTGTTGTTGACCCTCCATTAGCCTTGAACTGAATCACTGCCCAGGCCATTACTATGAGTCTGGAGTCACATGTATATCAAACCAGGTAAGGATGGCAGATTCCCTTCCCTAAAAGGACATCAATGAGCTAGATGGGTTTTTATGACAACCGATGATAGCTTCATGGTCACCATTACTGAGACTAGTTTTATGTTTTAGATAGCGGGGTTTGAACACTTGGTCTACAGCATTAATAATAAATACAGAAAGTTCTGGAGAAACTCAGCAGGTCTAGCAGCATCTGTGTAGAGAGAAACAGTTTGGAATCTGATATGACTTCTTCAGAACTGAAGAGAAATGAAAAGTGATGGAATTTATACTTCAGGAAAATGGGGAAGAGGAGAGCAAGTGGAATGGAGGGTGAAGATGCCTACTGCAAAAGGCCATGGGGCAGTTAATGGTAGTAGAGGAGAGAAACAGATGAAGAGTAGACCTAAATTGATGGTGTTAATCGCCATCGAATAGAGGTCAGTTTTGCTCAAAACAAGCCCTTACAAACAAGATTCTGTGAGAGTACCAGAGTGTGAGTGTGTGTCTCAGTCTGTGTGCATCTCTCAGTCTCTTTCTCTCTCTCTCTGTGGGTATTCCTGTCCTGCAGTCTGTGCATGCATCTGTGTGTCTATCCCACAGTCGGTGTAGATGTATGTTTTTCAGTTTGTGTGTCTGTCCTTCAGTCTGCATTTGTGCATGTGGGTACTTTTGTCTGTCTGTGTTTCTCAATGTGTGTGTCTCTCTTATTTGTCTCTCTCTCAGCCTCTCTCTCTCTCCTCCCCAGTTTCTCCCCCTCTCCCCTCTTTCTCTCTCCCCCAGAGTCTCCCCATCTCTCTCTCTCTCTCCCCTAGTGTCTCCCCATCTCTCCCCCCTTAGTGTCTCCTAGTCTCTCTTGCCCTTCTCCCCGGTGTCTTCCAGTCTCTCTCGCGCCTCCTCACCCCCCTACTCCAGTGTCTCCCAGTCTCTCTCTCTCTTTCTTTCTTTCTCTCTGTCTGTCAGTCAGTCAGTCAGTCTCTGCGTGTGTAAGCAAACTGAAGAGCATCACTTTCTGGATTACCGTTCAATAACGTCATCAGTATATGATTCAGGTTAAAGTGACAGGAGATTCACAGTAAAGACTGTATGAGTTGAAGTTTGTGAGGAAACAGGACACGGAAATGCCAAGAAAGGCTGTGGAGTTCATCAAGGGTTCAATAATGCTCCTAAGGGTGAATTAGGGATAAAGTGTACTTCTAATCTGGAGGCTGCCTTTAAACACAGACAATACACTGAGTCACCCAGTCAGCAGGACAGCTTCGACCCTGAAGCTCTGATATGGATAGTGCACACACACAAATGTAATTTGCCAGACAATTTATGATGCTTGATCAGGGTCATTTGTTCTCAAATTAGTTACTATTGGTTTACATGACACAAGTTTTGAAAAAACACTTGACATCAAAACTTTCCATCTTGGACACAGGACAATTTTCAAGAATACCAATTCAAGGGGAAAGCTAATATTTATATTGAGCGGAAGGCAGGATAAAAACATTGACAAAACATGCATTTTTCAGCAATACTTACATTCTTTACAATCAAATAACTATACAATATAAAATAATATATACCTTGGCATTTGTGATATTAGGATTCATTACGTTCATATCAAAAATAGATTTAATTATATATTTTAGATTTACCCATTGTCCACATAGACTGACTTTTTAAATTAAACATTTTTAAACATTTCTTTCCTTTTTTTTAAACATCTTCATTGCTCCTATTGTACAAAAAGCTATGAGATCTCAAAACCTCAGAGTCCATCTCCCACCGTCCTGATAGTCCCATTTTACAATAATGATGGAGATGTTGACTATCACCTGGACGGGTGCATGAATAGGAAGGGTTTCAAGGGATCTGTGCCAAATCCTGGCAAATGAGACTAGATTAAATTAGGATAACTGGTCAGCATGGATTAGTTGGACTGAGGGGTCTGTTTCCGTGTTGAATCACAATCACATATGAATCTATGAATCACAATCAATCTCCTCAGCGAGTTTATGGAAGACCCAAACACAAATTGGCAAAAGCCCTCAATCCTGGAGAGATTTCGAAATTATGCCCAGAGTCTTACAAGGTGGGTAGCAAAATAGCAAGGGAATTGGAGAAAGGCAGGATAGTACATTGGCTGCTCATCATAAAGGTTGATTCAGCTGCAATATGGTTGAATAATAGCCACTTCTGGGGGCATTTTGCTTACGTTTGGCAGGGAGGGTCAAACTGTGTGTAAAAAAAAAAATCATTCATGGAATGCAGGAGTCGTTGGCTAGTCCAGCATTTATGCCAGTCTTTGATTGCCCAGGGGGAAGTTTTTGAGTCAGCCACATTCTATGGGTTCGGAGTTCACATGTAGGCCAGGCTGGACAAAGTCCTTCCCCAAAGGACACTGGTGAAGCAGATGGGTTTTTACGCCAAGGATCACCATTAGGCTAGCTTTTAACTCCAAATTTTTTTATAGCATTCAAGTATCACCATCTGCTATGGTGTGACTTGAACCCATGTCCCCTGGGTCATGAATCTGGGTCTCTGGATTACTAGTGCAGTGACATTACCACCGTGCCATCACCTCCCCTGAACCTGGCAGGCTTTCAACAGTTTCTTGATGAAGTCGGTTTGGGGCCCCAAGGCGCCCTCTCAGCACCAATGTTCACCCTTGTAGCAACAATCCACATGGACAAGGAGAACCACGACTTTGACTGGGACAACACCAAGATCCTGGGACAGGCTAGGGAGAGACAAGCATGGCACTCCACCAAGCAGGCTATTAATCAACACATTGAACTCGACCCCATATACATTTCACTACGGAGGAAACCCGGAAGTGAGGCAATCCATCGCAACGGACCCCAGAGTTTAAAAACCAGGCGGGAAAACACACCGACGCTTCATCAGAGGCTGCACTGAGGATGTTACCAAGCACGGTAATGAAACGTCTGCGGAACAACAAACCAGCTCAGCGAGCCAACCAACCTCAACACCCACAACCCGAGCTACAGATCTACTCCAAAACCTTAAACAATCCTAACAGCACTGCAGTGCCAAACCACATCAATCCTGGATCCACAGGGTCACTGGGCCTGGTGCCAATGATCCTGAACCTCACTTAACTTCCTTTGAGTGTCCCCAGGAGTTGACTCCCTAGTTCTAGATTCTCCGACAAGAGGAAGCAGCTGACCAATATTCACCTGGTCCAGTGCCCTCAGGATTTTATATATTTCAATTAAGTCACCTCTGGCTCTTCTAAACTCCAGAGGATACAGGCCCAGCCTGTCTAGCCTTTCCTCATAAAGCAATCTGCTCATTCCAGGTATTAGTCTAGTAAACCTTCTCTAAACTGCTTCCAACACATTAACATCCCTCTAAGTATTGTGACAGGTGCTGCACACCGTGCTCCGGATCTGGGTGCATCAATGCCTGGTACAACTGAAGCATAATATACAACCATAGAAAATAGGTGCAGAAGTAGGCCATTCGGCCCTTTGAGCCTGCTCCATTATTCAATAGGAAAACCCCCGGAGTAACTTTGGAGAGTCGTACAACACAGCAAAGGCCCTTCAGCCCATTGGGTTTGCATTGACATAATTACCACTAAACGCAGGCTAATCTCAATTTCCCGCACTTGTCCTATTTCCTTGGATGTTAGGATATTTGAAGTGCTCATCCAAAATTTTTTTAAATGTTGTAAGGTTTCCAGACTCCACTACCTTTCCAGGCAGTGTATTCCAGATTCCCACCACCCGCTGAGTGAAAAAGCTTTTTTTTCGCCAAATCGCCTCGGAATCTCCTGCCCCTTGCCCTAAAACTATGTCCTCTCGTGAATGACTTCCTCAACCAAGGGGAACAGTAACTCTCTATTCACCCTATCCATACCCCTCGATCTTATACACTTCAATCATGTCTCCCCGCAGTCTTCTCTGCTCTAAAGAAAACAATCAAAGCCTATCCAGTCTCTCCTTACAGCTCAATTTCTCCATCTTAGGCAACATCCTGGTGAACCTCCTCTGTATCCCATGTAGTACTATCACATCCTTACTGTAGTGAGGTGACCAGTACTCCAGCTGTGGCCTAACCAATGCTCTGTACAACTCCAGCATTACCTCCTTGCTCTTATATTCTATACCATGACTGATGAAAGCAAGGGGTCCCGTATGTCTTCTTAACTATCCTATTCACATGCATTGTTGATTTCAGGGATCTGTGAATAATTACCCCAAGATCCCTCTGTTCATCCAAGCTAGCCAGTGTCCTGCCATTCATTAAACACTCCCTCATCTTGTTTATTCTTCCATAGTGCATCACCTCACACTTATCACTGTTAAATACCACCTGTCACTGGTTTGCCCATCTAACCAATCCGTCTATATCTTCCTGTCACCTCCAACCATCTTCTTCACTATTAACCACTTCTACCAATCTTTCTGTCATCTGCAAATTTGCTTAACATGCCTCCCACATTTTCATCTTTACCATTTATGTATCATTTGTATCTGTTTCATTTGTGATCCATGTGGTACACCACTGGACACTGGCTTACAGTCACTCAAACAGCCTTTTACCACTACCCTTTGTGTCCTAATATTAAGCCAGTTTCCGATCCATCACAGCAGGCCAAGCAGCATCAGAGGAGCAGGAAAGCTGACGTTTCGGGTCTAGACCCTTCTTCAGAAATGGGGGAGGGGAAGGGGATTCTGAAATAAATAGGGAGAGAGGGGGAGGCGGATAGAAGATGGATAAAGGAGAAGATAGGTGGAGAGGAGGTGGGGGTGGGATTGGAGCCAGTAAAGGTGAGTGTAGATGGGGAGTTAGGGAGGAGATAGGTCGGTCCAGGGAGGACGGACAGGTCAAGGAGGCAGGGTGAGGCTAGTAGGGAGGAGATGGGGGTGGGGCTTGAGGTGGGAGGAGGGGATAGGTGGGAGGAAGGACAGGTTAGGGAGGCGGGGACGAGCTGGGCTGGTTTTGGGATGCGGTAGGGGGAGGGGAGATTTTGAAGCTTGTGAAATCCACATTGATACCATTGGGCTGCAGGGTTCCCAAGCGAAATATGAGTTGCTGTTCCTGCAACCTTCGGGTGGAATTGTTGTGACACTGGAGGCGGCCCAGGATGGACATGTCGTCCAAGGACTGGGAGGGGGAGTTGAAATGGTTCGCGACTGGGAGGTGCAGTTGTTTGTTGCGAACTGAGCATAGGTGTTCCACAAAGCGGTCTCCAAGCCTCCGCTTGGTTTCCCCGATGTAGAGGAGGCCACAACAGGAACAGCGGATGCAGTATACCACATTAGCAGATGTGCAGGTAAACATCTGCTTGATGTGGAAGGTTTTCTTGGGGCCTGGAATGAGGGTGAGGGGGGAGGTGTAGGGGCAGGTGTAGCACTTCCTGCGGTTGCAGGGAAAAGTGCCGGGTGAGGTGGGGCTGGAGGGGAGTGTGGAGCGGACAAGGGAGTCACGGAGAGAGTGGTCCCTCCGGAAAGCGGATAAAAGGTGGGGAGGGAAAAATGTCTTTGGTGGTGGGGTCGGATTGCAGATGGCGGAAGTGTCGGAGGATGATGCGTTGGATCCGGAGGTTGGTGGATGTGAGGACGAGGGGGATTCTGTTTTGGTTGTTATTGCGGGGAGGGGGTGTGAGGGATGAGTTGCAGGAAATGCGAGAGACACAGTCAAGGGCGTTTTCGACCACTGTGGAGGGGAAGTTGCGGTCCTTGAAAAACGAGGACATCTGGTATGTCCGGGAGTGGAATGCCTCATCTCGGGAGCAGCTGTGGCGGAGACGAAGAGATACACACCTCTCACCCACCTTCCTAAAAAATGCCATCCCCTATTCCCAATTCCTTCGCCTCCACACTCCCCTCCAGCCCCACCACACCTGGCACTTTTCCCTGCAACCGCAGGAAGTGCTACACCTGCCCCTACACCTCCCCCCTCACCCCCATCCCAGGCCCCAAGAGAACCTTCCACATCGAACAGATGTTCACCTGCACATCTGCTAATGTGGTATACTGAATCCGCTGTTCCCGAAGTGGCCTCCTCTACATCG